TCTATATGCTAGCTATCTAGGCTGCGAAGGCCGGCCCGTCAGCAGCTCCTACATCTGCAGCACCTGACTTTGGTGCTCTGATGATGATACTGCAGGAACAGGCCCGCCGACAGGAGGAACAGGCCCGTCGGTTAGAAGAGCAGCTGCGGGGCACACAAGAGGAATAGGCCCGTTGGTTGAAAGAGCAGATGCTCCTTATGAAGGACCTTCACGCTATCTGCGAGGAGGAGATAAAAGAGGTGAATATATATATATATATATATATATATATATATATATAACGTTGCTCAACATGACAAACGCCTGTCGGAAGCTGAGACCCGAATCGACCAAGTGAACAAAGTGATGGCTGACATGAAGAAAATGCTGGACGACCTCAAATTTGAGGATGGAATAACAGCTCCCGACGTAGCTACAACACCTTCACTTCGTGGATTCAAAGTGCCGTCGTTCGACGGGACTTCTTCCTGGTTGGCCTACAAAATCCAGTTCGAGGCTGTTACGAAGACGAACGGCTGGATTAAAATTCGGGCCATGACTGCACTCACACTAAGCCGGCGCGACCAGGCCTTAACTGTTCTAGAAGCTCTCGGTAAGGAACTGACTTATGAGCTCACCTGGAACACGTCTTTCGCGCGCAGCCTAAAGATCGTGTGCAAAGCATTAACGAAAACCTGCATCAGTGGGCTCTTGAGGTGGAAAAGCTGGTGCGAAAAGCATACCAGTCTGTATCTGTGCTCATTGGAGAGAACCTGGTACAGACATTCATCGACGGCATCCGCGACCTTGAAATCAGAGCTGCTGTAAGGCTAAGGAAGACTTGGCCCATGCACTTGAGGTTGAAGCCGTGCGGCAGGATCATCGTTCCCATCGCATCAGGGAGGTTCCAGCAGCTACAGTTTGTGACCGCAATAATGGATACAGCCCTAGGTGCTATGGCTGTGGAGAAAGGGGCCATCTTCGATCTAGCTGCCCTAATCGCACTGTAGAAAGGGAAGGTGACAGATCTCGAATGGCTAGTGAGGCTAACAGCACCGCCCAGCAGCAGCATGGCAACAAGATGTTGATGATTGCAAGAATAGTACTAGGCAAGACGTTAAGGAAGTGGTATCTGTGAGGATTCTCAGGACAGACCACCTCAGCAACGAATGGAAGGACAGCCTACGACGTGCTCAGCAGGAAGATTCGGACATCAAGCCGATTCTGGATTGGATGAAGGCCAGTGCTCCCAAGCCCAAGTGGAGCGACTTCTCAGCGATGAGTTCGACCACTAAAAGCTATAGGTTCAATGGGACAGCTTGCTGCTTCAGGATGGAGGTCTGTGCCGTAAATGGGAAAATGGTCGGGGAGACAGCTGTCATTTGCAAATGGTTGTCCCTAAATCTAAAGTACCGGATGTTCTACAGCTGTACCATAATGATTGTTCAGGAGGCTATCTGGGAGTTAAACGAACTCTACTGAAGATCTGAGAACGGTTTTACAGGGTCCACTGTCGAAACGATGTCGAGGACTGGTGTCGCAAATGTACAAGTTGTGCGGCTGTAAAGGGACCTCAGACTCGTAGTAGAGGTGCATTGAAGTTGAACAATGTTGGTGCACCATGGGAGAGAATAGCCATTGACGTGGTGGGGCCGTTTCCGGAAACTGAAAGTGGTAACAAGTATTTCATGGCTGTGATGGATTACTTCACTAAGTGGCCAGAAGTCTTCGCTATTCCAAATCAAGAAGCTTCAACAGTTGCAGATAAACTAGTTCATGCGATTCACAGCGATCAAGGAAAGAATTTTGAGTCTCAAATATTCCAGGAAACTTACCGAGTTATGGATACTCACAAAACAAGAACGACTTATTACCACCCGCAATCCGATGGAACGGTAGAACGATTTAATCAGACATTGGAGAGGTACCTAGCAAAAGTTGTAGACAATCGGCAACGAGGAAGCGGGCTTTAAAAAAGCACAGTCAGATAATATAAAAGAAAAGGTGACATTTTTATGGTTGCGCAGTATTTTTCTGAAAATAATGATTTTTATCATTAGAAATGCGTGAAATAAAGCTCCAAAGATATACTAATAAAAGATTAGAAAAGCTTTACCGTTGATTAGTAGGTTTACGTATTAATTCATAGGTGGGTATTAATTTACCGAACCACGAACTTGCACATGATTTACAACGACATAACATGAAAAACTTGCTTAAACTTACTAATGCAATGACTATTAATCAATTTGTACTATTATTTAGTACCTTTTTACATGGAGAAATGCCTACGCTTACCTGCCTTACGGGGGAAGGACGGGTTATGTCGAACTCGCACCGACTAAAACCCCATGATGTTCTACCTTCGTCGCATATAAGCAGGGCCACGGGAACGCTTTCGCACACATCCGCGGCCCCACCAGCGCTGGTTGCCCCATGGCAGCCCCTCCTCAGCAGAGGCCTACTCTTCCCCCATCTCCTTCTCAGGTAAGGCACTCCAAAACACATGGTGCGCCCTCCTCCACGGCTACCGTCTTCACATGCGCAACAGACGTGTCCATGTCCGTGTCCGATACGGGAAGATCATCGGACCAGGAAAAACGAGCACTCAGAAGCACTAGCCATCCTGACCCCAGCGGCGAATCTGGTCTATAGCTCCACCGCCAACCAAGATTTAGCTGCGGAGGGTAGGAAGAGCGGCGCCTCGCAATACCGACACCCCTCTCCCCCCGCAGCCCCACCAAGTCAGGTGACCAAGCCATGGCTACCCCCCCCCCGCCACAATAAGGCGGGAACCCGTTCGAGGGAATTAATTAGTACCTAGTGACACCTGAAGAAATTTTGTTGGTTACGTAATTCGTCCATCAGTGGCTGCAAACATTGGTCCTAGTTTTACTTTGACTTACTTTTGAATAAACTTATAGCGATATTACGTTGGTATTTGGTGCCTATTGTGTTTTGAACATGCAGAGGTCGCAAATATTCATGCGTGTAATACTAAACTGATTTGGATGAAATTTTGCATAAAGGTATAACACGATCTACAGGATTTTATCTTCTCATATTGTTATCGGACTTTTATTCTTAAATTTGATCGTGTTTCTTAAGGAGCGTGATATAACAAAAAATTACGCTAGGAGTCTTTGAATAAATTGAGTTTTTGTGCCACGTACGTAATATAAGACCTACAACACTGCTCGACTAGATTTCGGCTTGCGGCGGCCCATCTACATTTTTCTCTGATCTGCTTTTCTTATGGCTTTCAACCACCTTTTCACTCTAAGTCACTCTCAACGTATTTTACGGCGATTTATCATACCCTGTAGCTACTCGAGCGCTGTTGTGGATAGTTTTTGAACTGTTATTACTGCTTACAGATGGACACATTTTCAACTATTCTTCTATGGGAGATTATCCTCCTGACCTTTCTAGAACTCTCCCACTATCGCCATCTAGTATCGAATAGAAGAACTAAGCTTACTAGAAAACTCCACACTTGAATTTCCTACACCAAGTCGGTCGGAACCGGCATTTGCTTGAAAATTCTAGATGTTCAGTGGAAAGGCCTATAGAAAGCCGTTTATTGCCACGAACCCTAAGCTCGTAACAATAGTGTCCCAGAAATGTGGACGAAATAAGTGACGCGCTGCGACCGCTAAGTTGTCTGAATAAAACTCATTTTCAGTCTATTTCTCCGATCAGATGCTAAATCACTTGCACATCCACGCACAATACAATATTTCACCATGTTCTAATGTTTCTTTTTGTAAAAAATAAAAAAATACAGAGCACGATTATTTTCTCACCAATTCCGCGAAAAAAAAAATTGTACAAAAAACAGTTAAGGAAAATTCGTCCGTAAGCAAATACTGCTTACGGACGAATTTTCAGGGCCAGGCGGGCTATGCTTTAGCACGTAACGATCGTTCTCCTGTTCTCTAACCTTCATGATTTCCATAAAGAGAGACATTGACACTTGATTGCAGTTGATTGCTTTGAGCATATTTCTATGCTCAAAGTATGGACTGTAGAGGTGAGGAGTACAGACTGTATATTAAAAGTGTCAAACTGTTAAATAAGGGTGGGCCCCACTAGCCCCTATAGCTACGGAGTAAATTCTAAAGAACGCGCTAAAAATATTAGTGGGATAGACGACTTTTTCGAGGTTACATTTACTAAATAAAATTATTTTAGATTTTAGAGCTACTGAGCAGTTTAGCAGCATACTTCAAACCGTCGACAACTGCTAAGTTCATTTCATGTAGCTGTTTCCTGTAGCCACTCCAGCGTTGTTGTGGAGAGTTTTTGAACTGTTATTTATTGCTTACAGATTGACACTTTTTCAACTATTCTCCTATGAGAGATTGTTCTCCTTACCTCTACACTCCATAGCTCAAAGGTTGATTGACATAATGATTGGGGAGTTTTGGCGGGAACTTGGCCGTAGACGGATTGTCGCTCCTGTTTTGTCGCTTAATTAATGATTTGAAGTGGATTTTGATTCGGTAAAGTGAAGAGATTTTGTGAATTAAGTGTCCGCGCGTATGAACTATTACAGAAAACGACGAAACAAGTGCTTTAATGTCGATATAAACCTCAAGTTATTTTGATCGCTTGGGCGCCTCATGAACTTGAGTGGCTGTCGTCATCAACTGTCCGCTTGGTTGAGCTGTCGTCAAAATCTCCCTAGGGTTTCGCAATGTGACGCATCAGCATATTGAGAAAAAAAAGAATATAAAAATGAAGATTCCGAAAGAAATGATAGGCTCAGAAAGGCTAGAACCCAGAGCCTTACGGCTCATTTAGCCAGTTAATTAAAAATAATGACATATTCAATTGTCAATGTCAAACCTAAAAAGCAATATAAAAACTAGTAATAACCTCTTTGTTGTACATATGTATTCTTCTATGATTTACAATTACTTTTAGAATCCCAGAGTACTTTTTACTAAGAGTTTAATAACTGTAACTTTATTTTTCTAACTTTTGATAATTTTAGAAAAACAGAAATGAAAAGAAAAATGTCTGATATTGAGGAACAAGAATCCAGGTAATTCGTAGGATTATTCATATTAAATTTTATTATTTTATTTTATCATTAACGAAAACTTATCGATAAGAAATAACATGGAAGTCATTTATGTAGTATCCATTTCATTTTTAATATTTCTTTTATTCTATTCTTTAAGGTTGTCATCATTGCTTTTCAACAAATCCAAAAAATTTACTGAACAGCTATCAACTCTGACGGATTCATTGAAGTATGAAGAACGAAAGCCTGCTTGGATTGATGAAGATGACGAGCAGTTTGTAGCAAATGGTGAACTTACTTCCAAAAGACAAAATTCATATACAAATAAACTTAAGCAGAAATATGAAATATTAATGGGGACACCAACTTGGGCAAGCCTGAATAAAAAAGAGAAGCAAGAAGAAGAGGATGACAATGAATTATTAAGAACTGTTGGTCATTTAAAGAAACAAAAGTTGACTAGCCTCCGAAAAGATTTTTTAGAATTTAAGAAGTTCCCAAAAATTAATGCTGAAACAGGAAATGAAGGACCTATTATTTCATGTTTAGAGTTTCATCCTAAGGTTAGTGTTGCACTTGTGGCTGGTCAATCTGGTATAGTCTCATTGTTTGGTGTAGGTGGTGATGTTAACAATAAACTCCATAGTTTCAAGTTAAAGAAATGGAATGTCACTGCTGCTCAGTTTACTCCTGATGGGTCAAAAGCTTTCATTGCTTCTAAAATTAACCACAGTTATTGTGTCTATGATTTGGTAAAGGCAGAACCTAAATTGATACAGTTGCCAAAAATTGTGAAGAGGCCCAAAATGTTTAAATTATCATCTGATGGTAAATATATTGCTGCCAGTGATGGTCTAGATGAAGTGTATATTATATGTGCTAAGTCCAAGGAGCTTTTGCGATCACTGAAGCATAATACCAATGTTGAGTCAGCTACGTTTAGTTCTAAAAGTGATAAGTTATTTTGTTATGGCATTCAAGGTGAAATCACAGTATGGGATATGTCAACATTTAAAGTTTTAAATAAATTTTATGACCAAGGTTGTGTAACAGCTTCAGAGATAACAGCTAGTTCATGTGGAAGATTATTAGCAACAGGTAGCGGGGAAGGTATTGTTAATGTTTATGAAATGCCCACATTAACTTCTTCAGATCCTATTCCAATTAAAACAATTTCAAACTTGATAACTAAAATCACAAATATAAGATTTAATGCTACATCTGAAATACTAGCATTGTCCTCAGGTTATTATCCTAATGCGATAAAACTTGTACATTTACCATCTTACCATGTATTTTACAATTTTCCTCACCAAGAAAACTTGTATCAAGTAGAAAAAGTAAGCTTTTCTCCAAATAGTGGTTATATGGCTTTAAGCAATAATAAAGGATGTGCCTATTTGTACCGATTGAAACATTATAAAAATTACTAATTTTGTTTATGAAGTCTGGTCTTTTATTTAATTTAAAATTTTTGTGTTCCTTCTTTAGCCTATTGCTACTTTGCAACTTCACATTCACATAAATTTCTTTTATTTTTTTATTAATTATTCTTGTCATATAGCATAGTTTTTTTAAAATATGAAAGACGAATTTAAAAAAATAAGTGATATTTATGTGAATGTCACTTATTTTATTTAAATATAATTTATTTTAACAAGAAAAGAAAAAATAGCTATAGTCCTAGACCACATGTACATTTGTTGTTTTTATTAACTAGGTGGAGTATAACATGCCTCTTTGTTTAACAAACCTTTGTAAAAATAGCTGGGAGATACATCATGTCTACAGTATTTTCAGTTTATTTTTTTATATGATATTGTTATGAACTTAGGGTTCGAGACAATAAAAACTGTGCAGTGAGTTACCAAAATTGACACTTTAATTACAGAACACTAATTACAACTTAATACCACACTAAGAACAAAACACAATTGTACTACAATCACTTTAGTTTGCTTTGAAGTATTTGCTTGAATCGCCAATTCAATACTGACCCGGGTCGCATTCTATACTGGCCTTATATAGGGTCTCAATTCCAGAACCATCTACTGTGGAAACATCCAGAAAGTTTGAGTAAATATAAGTCCCGGCAGGTGTCGATAGTTCTAGAAAGGTCTAGCATGGAAATTTCTAAAAGGGTCTTGACCCTCCTGTTTCTGCTACTCAATACTAGAAGGCGCTATATATACACTAATGCCTGGTACTTGGCGACACTAGTGGTAACTAGTGTCGCCAAGTACCAGGCATTAATTATGGCGCGCAACAATATGACTGTAAAACATAGCAGCTTTACCATATTTTTTGACAAAAATCTAATTATTTCTTTATTCTTTAGATGCATATATATGTAATGTTTTTGTAAATACTTATTATACATTTGGCCAACGTTTTCTGCATTTGTCATTTTAAAAAACCTAATGATTTAAATTATCAAGAGTAATAAAGCATAAGGGCAAAATTAACACATTTGTGACATTACCTATGAACAGTATTTCATAATACATTCCATTTAGAATAGTATGATAGGAAAAGATGACCTAAATTACGATGACTATTTAAAAACTAAAAAACTAGTAGAAGGAAAGTACTAAAGAAAAAAAGGCAACATTGGCATTAGGTATGTAAAGTTGCCAAGAGATTTAGGCAATTTTCATATAAATATCTTTGACCGTACAGGGTTGTCAAAAAACAGAAACAAGACCTTTTATTTAATTGGTTTATATTTTATACCCAAAAAAATATTCTTATGTTTAGTTCTTATACTACATTATAATCTCAAAAATGGCACATATTTTGTACTTAGGTTTTTTATCTACGGTCTAAATAGCTATAAAATAAAATACAAATAACACAAAATGATTACAAGACGAGAGTAGGTTTGAATTAATCACAATAAATGTTGTCTTGTCATAATGACTCTTCAGCGTATTTTGGTATATGCAGTAGTTCTATAGATTTTACTACAGCATTTTCAGGCGGATATTTATTTTCATCCGACCTCTTAGGAATAACAATATGATGCTTGTTTCGTATTTATTTATAGTATGAAACTGCATATCTTTTCATATGTAGGTCACTCAAGTTTTGAGATGCTCGTAATTTAAAAATGGATTGCACCCATGTTATATGTTTCTAAAAAGCAAATTTATTTAAAAATAGAACTCCATAAGCCAATTGCTCAATATTTAAAAAAAGAAAACAAAGTTCTATTATTTTTCCTGCAATGCTTCCCGCGCTTTTATTTAAAACGATGGATCTTAACCGTGAACATTTGCGCGCTATGATCTATTATGATTTTAAATTTGGTTTAACCCGCATTTAGTACAACGGTTACAATCTAGACACGCACTAGAGTGTCAAGCCACACGAACCATTTGGAGCCACTTTTGACCCCCTTCAAGGGTTATTTAGATATTAACGTCTAAAAATCGTCATTTTTATCACTGACTGACCTATAGATCAAAACTCTAACGCAGTTCCAGTTGACGTAGAAAGTTCAAATTTGGCATGCAGATAGGTAATTAGGTGAATACAAAGGAATAAATCAGAAACGGATAAATTTTTATCATTTTATTATGATTTTTCACTTAATTGATTCTATTAGGAACATGTACACAGCGCGCGTTACGCCACCGGAGGAGCGGGGTGGGAGCGATGCAATAAAACCTTGACGCGAACGTGTCCGAGGTCCGAGCGAGTGGAAGGTGACACTGGCAGCAGTGCTCATAAACGCGAGCGCCGTTTTGCTGTCCGGTTGTCTCTCAATATCTGCCCTATGAGGTGGCGATTTATGCTACGAAATTAATAGGTTTTCTTAAAAATACTTATATATTTGTATAACATATACATATATACAAAGTACATACATACACAATACATTTAAATATACACACATATAGTATTAATATATGTACAATAATAATTCATATATATATATATATATATATATATATATATATATATATATATACATGCTTGTAAACTTCGTAAATAAATATCCAAATTAATGATATATATAATATAGTATTAGAATAATATATAATGAAGTAAATATTTGAAGTAAAAAAAGAAGAAAAGAATTAAGGAAAAATAATGTCAATTAGTAGTTGCCTGCAAATAATGTTCTCGGAGAAGAACTTTGAAAACGTTTTTATTTGTGGCATTCTTAATATCATTGGGGAGGGTGTTCCAAAGTTGTATAGCTTGTATCGTAAAAGATGACCTAAAAAATTAGACTTATGCTGTGGAAACCTTAACCTCAGATCGTCGGGATGTTCGACCGTCGATCGAATGAAAAAAATGAAAATTATCCCTAAGATAGAAGGCGACCTTGGATCGTTTAAATATAGGTAGCCATTTAAGCTTTGAAAGATAGGATGATATGTGGTCATACTTACGTAAACCAAAAATAAACCTTATGGAATTGTTAAGAAGGCGCTCCAACTTGTTTAGACAGCCCCTCTCTGTTTCTGACAGATCTGGGTAACATACATCGGCATAGTCTATAATAGGTAGAATGAGGGAATGAACCAGCGTAAGCTTGGTTTTGAAAGGTAGGAAATTTTTAAGACAATAAAGGGAACGCAAGGTAGCAACAACTTTACGACTCACTTCAGGGATCTGAAATTTCCAGGTCATGGTTTTATCCATGTACAGGCCAAGATTTTTTATGGAATCACAATACGGAATCAAAGTTACATTATAAATTACAGGAGAGAGATTTCCATAATCAACCTTAGGCAACAATTGCGAATATTATAACTTTGCATTTGGCAGGATTAACAGAAACGCCATATTAACATGACCATTCTCTTATGGCTTCCAGGTTATCATTTAGTTTGTGTATTACAAAGTTAAGATTATTTAAGCCTGACTGTACATAGAGCTGGAGATCATCCGCATACAGATGGTACGAACAATCTAAAACTGAGGAGATAGAATTTATAAATAAGAAAACATAATAGGAGAAAGTATTCCGCCTTGCGGCACACCAGATTCAATTTCAGCCCATGCAGAAAACCGCTGACCTGAGCGAACTGATTGCTGTCGACCGCGAATATAAGAAGAAAACCATTCCAAGGCTGGGGATGAAAATTTTAGGTGTTTAAGGATGGATAGGAGGATACCATGATGTGACCACTGTGTTGAAAGCGTTTGAAAAGTCAAAAAGCACCACTGTAAATTTCTGCTCATCTAAGCCCTTTTTTATATCGTCTGTGACTTTGATAAGCGAAGTGGTAGTGCTGTGACCAGAGCGAAACCCCGATTGAAATTCATTCAGCAGGTTATGTTTTGCAGTGAATACAGATATTTGCTTAAAAACATCTCAGTTACAGATATTTGCTTAAAAACATATATGATTATTACACACATAACGTTTGTTTAAATTTATGACATTTACCATATCATTGTATTTTGGACATTTGTATTCTTCAATATTAAAAATTCTATCATTCGTTGTCAACATTTTTAAAAATTGTTTTTCTGTTCAACCACCTTTGTATGCGATCACTTCGTCTTTGCACAAATTTCTAATATACCAATTTAATATGGGAACGATTTTCTCTTGTTTGTAGGCACATTTTAATTCTTCGGTCACATCAAAATATGGAATGCCGTGCACGTGTGTTTCACAATAACGAACAGTTTTTTTGTCTTTTGGCGACAAATAATTGAAATGATAACTTGGCTGAAACAAATAATGATCGATAAACGCATCATTTTTATTAGATAGTTTTACGTCTAGAATAGCCATTTCTCTACATTGAAAATGTTTATGAGGATATGTAATGTAAAATCCATCCATGTCGATGATGTATCTAATATTTTTTAGATTTTGTGTCATTTTGAACCAAAATGTTAAAAGTATTTACACGTGACTAAAAATATGTTTGTTCCAACAAACTTCACATAACAATGCTTCATTACTTCCCATCGTCCCATTTCTTCCTTCTGCTCTTGTCTTCCTGTAATTTAAGTAAACAGAATCACATTCACTAATGATCAACTAATGACTGTCATTGTTAAAAAAGTATTTTTAACTACTCTAGTATTCGTAGATGCGGTACACACACAATATTTAAATATAATTTGTTAACACTAAATCATACACACGTAAGAAAATAACAGAAAGAAAAGTAAGTGTGTCAATAGAATAAACACTTAAAATTGCAATTAACAATTTAATTGGTGCCGGCGGGGATCGAATCCGGGTACTGTGAAATTTGCAGCTTGCGCTAACCATCTGAGCTACCACGGCTTAATATACACACACAATATTTAAATATAATTGGTTAACACTAAATCATACACACGTAAGAAAATAACAGAAAGAAAAGTAAGTTTGTCAATAGAATAAACACTTAAAATTGCAATTAACAATTTAATTGGTGCCGGCGGGGATCGAACCCGGGTATTGTGAAATTTACAG